ATTAGCGATTACACCAACTGCTGGTCCCACCATACATATTATTTAACATTCTGTAAGCCTAAAAAATTTTTGAACAGAGAGTGAAAAGGAAGGCCAAGTGAATCTTTGCTTAAGAATACAGAACTATGAAAAATTCCTGGGTCAAAAGAGTGCTCCAAATGGAACTACTTAGATACATATGACTTAGATATATTTTTAAAAGGTAAGAAAAAGTACTGGGATAACTGCAATCCTTCCAAAATGGAAATCTTAAATTAAGGGGGAAAGATTCTAATAGTGTAAACAGCTCTGGCTCAAAAAAAATAATTAAAAAACATATCCAAGATCTGTCCATAAAAGTAATGACAGTACATCTTTAATATTAAAGAAATAGACTATAAAAAAGTTAAGTCTCAGAATTTTTTTTAAGCTCATTTGTGCTCTTTTGTGGGTGCGTAATAAAGTTCCATGGGTTTGTTCACTTTCATATATTTCTCACTGACCAATTCCAACGAAAACAAACCATTTAATACACTGAACTGGCCACTGGCTGTTGCTATATAAATGGTATACTGTTTCTCACTGGCTGTCTCCAGATTCATCTGGTTTGATTCTCCTTTGCTTCGAAGTTCTAAAGCTAACCTCATAGCCAGGTACTTGGATAAGTGATCAACAGTGGCGTTGCATGAAATCTTTATGTATCTTGTCTGTACACTGTCATTCTTTTCCATGAGTGTGGGATGAGATCTGAATACTAATTCAATTTCACTAACACCATCCATTACTGGATCAATTGTCACTGTTGCATTATTCTTATCAAGCTCAAGCTCGGAACTGTCAGATGTTTTGGTCTGTTTGTTACTAGGGCCTGCTTCCTGATTGCTGTTTGTAGATGCATTACTACAGTGTGAACTGTCACTGTTATCTTCTGCCCCACTACCATTTTCAATGTTGTTTCTTTCCTCGTTGTAATCTGTTCATGGCCTATATCTCCAGTCCTTCCTTAGTGCTGTGACTGAGTGCTTGTTGATTAGTGTGCTTGTTGATCCTGGCTAATACTCTTTACTGATGAGCTTCATACTCATCACCACTTGGATAAATTTTGCTGATGAGTGCATCAAAGTTTGGATCTGGCCTTACTGATCTTTTGGAAACCAGATTTTTCTGGCAAGTAGGACATTCTTTGTTGCCACTTCTAAGAGCAGTAA